CCCCCCCCCCCCCCCCCCCCCCATTTTCGTTGTCCACTCCTTGGTTCTCGGTCATGTCTTGAGTGTGTTTTCGACGAAGATCCGTTCAATCAAGTACAAGAAGACAGAATCAACATGTTAACACGGTTGTTGGCCACGCGACCAATTTTCCGTGAGTGTCATTTTATGGCAACAGCCCCTTGTGCACTTTCATCAGCAAGCGTCTGATCCACGCGTGCGATGAAAAAACAACTGTACTGTGCAGGAGTAAAACGAGTTACCAGTTTCCGTGACATCGGGTAACTGTTTTGTAGCCAAAGGTTTTTTTTCCCCCAATATTCAGCCATCAGTTTCAAACTGTCTTGTAGCTGTAACCAAATTTCCTCCGTTCAGATATTGTTTTTTTCTTTTTGTTTGTTTTTCTCCCCCATCATTGGACTCTGTCGTCTGCCCCTCTGGCCCCTATCCTCCACTTCTACTAGCTAGACGACCCAACCGGGTCACATAGGAGGGGGGGGTTGGACCCCCTCCTGCGGTTCATGCCTGAGGTATTTTTTTTATCGCGAGAAGGGTACAGCAATCGCTTCCCTCGCGACTTACTTACGAAGTCGATTATGGTTTATTAACAAACGAGCTTTCTTTGCAGCGCGTCGCTTTCATCCTAGACCAGGATTTATTTAGTGAGAAAAATACTCACTCTGCCGGGACTCGAACCCACGACCTGGCCCATAGTAGGCTGCGAGGCTACCCACTAGATATTCTAGGGTGGCCATACCCCGATTGTGTTCACGCAGTTGGAGTAAAATGAGTTACCAGTTTCCGTGACATCGGGTAGAACTGTTTTGTAGCCAAAGAGTTTTTTGCCCCAGGCATCGTATATTCTTCAGCTACAGTAGGGGGCCTCTATAGTGCCGGTATGTGTTCAGAGAGCAAAGCGGCACTATACCGGGCACCGGCACTATTCAGAGTACAGAAAGACTTGATATTCCGGTGTTGTTGTTGTTGTTGTTGTTTCTCACATTAGCTCAAATAAAAAAAAAAGATTGGGAGCCCGTGGTCTCAAAACCCGGCATACACGACCCCACGAAGAAACAGAAAAAAATAGGGTACAAAAACCACTCGGAAGAGAAACAAAATGATAGAAAGAAAGACCAGCTACCGCACAAAACGAGAAAGAGCGTCGAGGAGACCAATAAAAATAAAAATAAAAGGAGAACGGGGAACGCTTCCCACACCAGCCTGCAACGCCGGAGGGTTCCGTGCCGGGTTCCCGCCGACCAGGCATCCCCCGCCCTGCACCACACCCCAGGGGGTGCAGCAAGACGGGGGGCGAAAAACAAACACATATATATTCCCACAAAAAAAAATAAAAATCGACGGGCAACCTTCACCAGTACCAGGTAC